GATAATACATAGAAGGTAAGTCGAAAACGGTTTGAACGAAACAGTGGGCTTGTGTGTGGGCGTGCTCGTCCTGAAAACATATTCTTAATGTGCATTAAAGATCTGCATTAATGTATTCATTTCCAAAACCATAGTACTGTACAGTAGTAAAATGCGCTTAAAAATACTGTACTCATTCCTTGCTGTACAGTATATTCAACTGTCAAAAAAATTCTGTACAACTTTTACACTAATCAGTGACTGACAGTAGTAGATGTACTCTTTTTAAATGAGTACAATTTTTGTCTCTTTCCCACACGTTGTACACCAAACTTCTATATGAGCATAGTAAATTTGATTGACAACAACTATAAAGATATTTTGAACTGTTCTGCTACTAATGAAAATGATGCAAACGCAATAAATGCGAATGAAAGTGTAAGTTTTTTAAAAATAATATTATATTTGACCTTGTATATTTATAAGAAATGTGTTATTTTATTAAATATTAGTGTTCGTTTCGTCTTCGTATTTTCATAAAGATAGTCCTACTACAAGAGAAATTATTCAACAATTAAATTCTCATGATATTGCCCACACTGCAGTGCAGCCCAAGCGTAGTCGCTGATAACTGCACAGTCAGCAGAGCGCGTGATATACATGCGTGTGGATGCGTGTGTATGCATGTGTGCATAAAGGAAGTGCAGAATGGGAAGAATATCAGCTTGGAGAGCATCTCGTAGTCGAGCAGTCTCGACTGGAGCCTTCTTACTTGTTTGAAATAAATTTGTAATAATTAAAATATCGGCCATCTTTTTCTTGCATATAACATTTTGATTTTTGTACGCCCCCCTTCATAAAAAATATAATAAAAATAATAACTCACTGTACAGTAAGTTTACTGCACATCAAAACAGTGTACAGTGATTTAGTACTGTTCAGAATGAAATTAAGTGAGAACATAAGCTCCCAGCAAGCATTTGGAAGACTGTTTTAACAGAAATCGTCTTGATGAGTCTTTTTTGAGTCCCCTTGACGATTAAAAAACGACAAATCTCCTGGGCGATCGAAAGAAGACTCATAAATGACCCTTCCATATGCTCAAAGTATGATTGCTTTGAAATACAAAAACGAAATGCAAAGCAATCGCCAAATGAGCATGCAGGTGATTAAAATATGATCATTGCTTGGTTTTGCTTTGTTTCTATGCACTCATATTCTGCTTGCTTGGCTGATCCAAAAGCGATTCTTATCTGAGCTTAGATCTAAGTTAAACGGCACTTTTTCTTAAGCACATGCCGAAATGTGCAAATTTTGTCATTCGATCGTGAAAGTGCAATTGAAGTGCAAGTGCGAAGTGCAAATAAATCAATTATTATATCAAATAAAAAGGTGATTATGTCAGTCGAACAATTGCGTCGCGTGGCCAAAATAGATGCTTTTAAACTATTATTTCCTGAAAAGGAAATAATAGAAAAAAACAACAATTCAAATGATCTTTTGGCAAACGAAAGTTTTGATTATAATCATAAGAGTGCTGAAAGTTCAAGCGACAGTGACGGTGAGTGCTACATTGTAACCGTAATAAAAAGTATGTATTATTTTGGAAAATACTTAAAATATTTTTTATTAATTAATATTTTTCCTTTTAGATATTACTAATGAAAAATATAAATGCACAGACAAAGATTTGAATACGGTGCTACAAAAGCATTTTTTCCATGCCAATGACAGGCTGGCGAAGCGTAGGCGTTTAGAGTAATATAAAACATACATGTAAATAATATTGTAAATATTTTTGTTATTATCTACATTAATTCAATTATTTATGTTAAATGTTATGAATTTCTATTACTGTTTTTGTTATTTTTTGCTTTGAATTTCTATGTTTTGTTTTGAATATCTATTTACTTTTTTTTTTTTTTTTGTTATTTTTTAAGATAATATACACTGCGCGTCTGATGGTTAGCGCCCCCCTTTACACTCTACCTAAAAGCTAAATAAAATCTAAACCATCAGAGCTCCATCTGTGAAATTTTTTTACATTATACTCCATTTATTTCTCTTCAAAATACAAAAAGAATGGCTACTGTAACAATAAGGATTATTTTTAAATAATTTTTTTTTGTAAAAGGTACAAAAAACATGTATCAAAAATTTGGTCATCAGATTAGCGCCCCCTGTGATAATTTCAATTTAGTCAAGTTGATGACCAAAAATAACATCTGTATTTTAAGCGATTATTATTTTTATGTAATGTTAGTAGTGCGTAGTGCCGTTTTTTGTTTGAAATTACTTCCAAAATTCGATTAGGAATGGAATTATAAAGTTGTTCAATATTATTCAAGGATATGGTTGACCAAGCGTGTTCAATACCTTCGATTAACTCTGTCTTTGTACTATAATGCTTTCCGGACTTATATACTTTCCTGACCAACCATCCCCAGACGTTTCCAATAATATCAAGGTCGAGTGAGTATGGTGACCACTCCATCAGATTAATTTTTTGGCCCTGAATGCAGGATTTCACGGATCGGGCGGTCTGAATTGGAGCATTATCATGCTGAAAAATCTAATGCCGGTTTTCAGACAGGTTATAGAAATGCGGAACAGCAGTTTTAAACACGATGTTATAGTCCTATGCGTTCATGCGCGAAGTCAAAAATTGAAGCTTGCAAGTGCTGTAGTAAGATATTGATACCTACACCAATGCCACAACACCCCCCCGCCGCAGCGGCTTGGCAACCGCTCCAAATAATGTTCTTCTATGAGTAGGTCATGGATATAATAATTATAGCCATCAGTTCCTTCCAAATTCAATTTTTCTCATCAGGAAAGACAACATGCTGCCATTGGATAGACCACGTCATGTTTGCCCGACCAAAATTAATGCGTATTTCTTTTCTCAGCATATCGACTGGTGTCTTTTTTTTTTACATTCTGTTTCTTTAAGTAATTAACTTTCTTAATTGCTCTTTGGACCGTTGCTAAGCTCGTCTTAACACTGATTTTAACCCTAATCTTGGTGGTTCGTGGGAATTCGAAGCTTCTCGAACTAATGCTCTTCTATTTCCTTCTGAAATCACTTGATTATTGCCGCTTATATAGTTTTTTCCATAGTTTTCCCTATTGGTAAGAAAATTGACACTTAGTTTTCTGTTTTTCCTGTTTTTTCAGCAATTTTATAGTTACATAGTCTAGATTCAAAGTATGCCTCAATCTTTGATTTTCAACCAAAGATAAAGCTGTTTCTTTACCCATACTATAAATATATTGAATACTTTGAGCTTCACAAAAAATTTGGTGAGTGTAATTGCCAAAATAAGCAAGATAATTACAATTGCATTTGGGGGCGCTAATCTGATGACGCGAAGTGTATATATAGTAATGAAAATTATATTAATAAAAAAATTATTTTCGTTGCAAATTATTGAAAATTTCATTCTAATATGAGTCAGAAATTATTAAATTATGACTCGTGGAAGACTCTTTTATGATTAAAAGATGACTCATGGAAGACTCTTTTATGACTCGTGGAAGACTCTTTTATGTTAAAAAAAAGTCATAAGTGACTTATCAAGAATAATCGCGGCTAGGGTACCATTATCTCCCGACAGAACAGTCTTTTATGATCAGAAAATGATCGCAAATATGACTATTTTCAATCGTCGCGCGAATCTTTTAAGTGTGCTCATTTTTATAATAAATGATTCAAAAGCCCTTTTGGGTGCATCCATGCAGATGTGTAATGTGCATCAACGCTTTCACAGCCTTCCCAAAAGTTTATGAAAACGCAAACATTTTCCATGAACATGGCAAACCCTTGAAATGTGTGGTATACTCTTCATTCAGAAGCGCGCGCATCGCATTGATTTTATCGTACCTTATTTTCGGTGCTCGGGCCACAGGCGACCGAGCCGAGCAAATACGAAGTAGAAAATGCAAGATACATATTTAAAACAAGTCGGCTCTAGTCTCGAGACTGCTCAATTAGGAGATTCTAATCATTCAGCATTTCTTTTATGCACACATACATACACATGCATCTGCAAGGACGCATAAGCACTCGCTCTGCTGACTGCGCAGTAAGCAGCGACTGCGCTTGGGCTACGCTGCAGTGTGGGCAATACTATGAGAAATTGCTTGTTGAATAATTTATCTTGTAGTATGACTATCTTCATAAAACTTTCAGCACATAATCAAATTGTTCAAATGTTCAATTAGGCTGAAAAAACAAAATCAATTTTTCGATTATTCTCTATAAAAAGTTATCGAAAAAATATGATAAGCTTGTACTGCGTATGGTATATATGAGTATGCATGCCAAATTTCAAGTAATTAGCTCTTATAACTTCTGAGATCTAGGCGTTCATACGAACGGACGGACGGAGCTCTATCGACTCAGCTCGTCGCCTTGATCAAGAATATATATACTTTATGGGGTCTGCGATGATTCCTTTTTCCCTTTTCACAAAACCATTATGCCCTGATTTCCCATTTTCAATGGGTTCAGGGTATACACAAATATTTAATATTCTCATAGTAAGTTCTTACTGCAGTTCATGCGTGCTTATACGTGCGGGTGTATAACTGTGAATTGATGTACGTATATGTGCATATGTTTTTTCTTGTGTATGCAGAAAAGAAGTGAAAAATTATTGAAATATCAGTTCGTCGAAGAGTTCAGGGGATCCCGTAGTCGAGCACGCTCGACTAGAGCTTTCGTACTTGATTGTATATAAATTTTAACATTTCGGATGTTTTGATGTTCACATTTAACAAAATATTGTAATGTTTCCTTACACTTTGTTAAATTTAAAGAAAGCGGTTCGAAACACATGCTATTTAGCTTCATTCATAGTTAGTTTATGGAAATTATATTTAAGAGATATATTTAACTGTTTCCTAACCTTATAATTTAACCTGAGAGACATTGTAAGCACTACAATTTTTTTGTTTAACTTCCGCTGTAACTATATATATAGTCTGCAAAAGTTAACAGTTTGTTGGTTATCACTTACCTTATTTCCGCCTATAGCTTTATCACACTGAAACAAACATGTACATATATGTATAAAATAATAATACATTTTCGCTTAGAGTAAATACATACGATATTAGTTTCTTGTTTGTTGATATTGCAGTGATTTGAAACCTGCCCAGAAAATACGGTAAAAGTAATTAAAACATATACGTATATTAAACTGTTTGATTACTTACATCAGTAAAACTTTCGTTTGGATCAGTATCCTTGTTAAGTAGAATACTAGCTGCTAAGACCTTTGCTGTTCCAATTGCATAGTCTTCAATTTCTAACTTTAAGCCTTCTGCTACAGTTTCTGCATTGGCATCAGTTTCGCTACTTTCTACATTTTTCAGCTTCTGTTCAAAAGGAACATATTAGAACATTTTTAATCTTTTGCTGGATTGATAACTTACGATAACTTTTGAGCATGTCGACGATGATAACATAGTGCTTAGACGATTGTTCATAGGGGAGGCATCAGTTGATTTTGTCTCTTTCATGTTAATGTATTCCTGTACCTCACTTTTTGGTTGGCTATCATTGTTTATGGTATCTTGTGAAGTACCCCCGGAACTATTTTCATTTCTATTGTCACTTAGCTCTATGTGCGGTACGACTGCGCCAGTAGATAACTTTTCAATGTGCTCCTCCAGAATGCAGCTAACAGTGACAGTATTAACGGTTCCTGCGACAGGCGTATTGCTTATGCTCATTACAGAGTTATTTGATTGGATTACATGGTTTAAGTGTTGACTACTACTAATTTGATTTTCCTTGCTGGTGATCGCAAGCTTTTCTTGTTGCTGTCCATATGGATCTCCTACCCACTTTTCAGCTTCGGTATCGGGTATACTTGACATTGGCATATTGTAAATCCTATTGCTATTGTTATTTGTTGAATTATTGTTAGTGCTGATGGTGTTAGCCGTAGCCACAATTGTACCTCCACTACCAACATTAACACTGCGATGTTGGTGGTGATTAGATTCTTTTAAATTATTGTTGCTTGCACTTGACAAATTGGAAGGATTTGTGGTACGCAATGGGTGAGGCTGGCCAGTATCAATAATCTTTGGCATTTTCATTTCCTCTATGCTATATGTGCACGTAAGTTCCTCTAAAGCCGAAAGTCGCTTTTCCTTACGCTTTTGTCCTAGCTTAATGGCAAACTATTTACAAATATTAATATTAGAAAAATGTTAAAAATGATAAAAGAATCAGCTAACAGTATATATGTCTTACCTCTAGATCTTCATACGTTTTGAACTCTAATATGGCAAATCCGTCAATAATCTCCTCCTCTAGGACAGGAGACCTAGGCAGTTTGCGACGAACTGGAGGTGGCGGTCTTGGTGGAGGCTTATCGCGCGGAAGAAGTAATGTTGATGACGACGATGTTGAAAGAAGATCTTCATCTAGTGATTCACCTTCGCTATCACTTGGAGTTGCCATCAGACCAGAATTGCATTCAGGAGAATGTGGTGGATTCAATAGCAATGATGCAATGCTGTCCGTAGGTGGTAGCAAATTGTTGCTACCGTTACTACTGCTAGTAAAGTTGCCATTGGAGTTATTGCTATCTTCTCCCATACTACCAGCACTATTGAGGTGATATAACATGCTATTGCCAGGACCCAATGAGCTGCTGCTACCTATCAATATGGTAGGCGCAGTTATAGAACCAATCATACCAGTATTGCTACTGCCAGTAGCAGCGTTTATCCCAAGGCCAACACCCACACCTACAGATCCTCCAATCAAAGTGCCACTTAACGCACTTAAACTGCATCGATTATCGCGCTCTGCCTGCAGGCGCTGGGCTCGTTCACGCCGACGTTTCTGTTGGCGTTGCTGTTTTGTGATTAGACTCAGTTGCTGGCAACTATTGGAGATGCTGCTATTGGCGTGGCCGTTTGCAGTTGCTACTAAAGCAGTTTGAACAGGAGTACATGTTACTGTTGAAGCTGATGATGTTGTCGAGTGGTCTATTGTAGAAGTAATTACTGTTGTGGTTGCCGCTGCTACAATTGATAATTCAGTGTCTGAGTCAAAATCACTTGCACATGGTGCAGGTGCTAGTTGTGCTGGTCCTGTCTGGCCTGAAGAACTATGGGGTGGTGGTGTTGAAGTTGCCCTTATCCCTGCGCTTGAAAAAGAAGCCGGAGCAGGTAGCAAACAGCTCAATAAAGCAGCATCTGAGGACGATTCAGTGACATTTAAATTAGATTTCGGTGGAGGTAGGCTTAAGCCCACAGATGATGTGTTTGATATTGCTAACGTTGCAAGTGCTGAAGTATTGGGAATGTCAACTGGCGCTGGAACACTACTTAGTGGGCTCGCTTCATTTTGCTTTTTATTTTTATTGACACTCACGTCAGCGGAGGGTACAGGAAGAATTTCTTCAACTGATCCTCGCTGTGTTAAAAGATCCACTGACTCCTGTAGCACGTTGCCTTCCGCAAGCGAATTTATTACCGGATTAGCAGTTTGGTTTGTAGTAGTTACATCCATGTCCAATACGTAGTTTTCGCTGTTTTTTTTTTCTTCTAATTTTTGGTAGGATTGTCACTTCTGCTGCACTAATAACTTTCGATTAAACTTTAACTGTTGCGGGTGCAATTAAATTGGTAATCATTCAAAATGAAATCCACGAGGGTGTCCAACGCTGTCATCATATCATGGAATAAATACGCGCTTTCTGTTGCATGGCGAATTTCTGTTGCATGGCGAATTTAAGAAATGATTTTGTTTTTTTTTTTTTTTTTTTTTTTTTTTTTTTTTTTTATATAAGGAAATTCACATTTAGTTTATCCCATTTTCAACACTTGAACCACAAGAGCTGACCGTTTTTTTCTTTAGACAAAAAAAATTAAATAATAATAATAATAATATATATATATATATATATATATATATATATATATATTATATATATATATATATATATATATATATATATATATATATAGTAATCAGTTATGTTGTTAGATGGATAATTCGATAAATATATGTTCTGATTACTATTCACCTACACATTCGACTTGTTACAAACCAAAATTGTGTATTTTGTTACCCTAAATGAAAATTTTGGGGTCCATACATATCCATAACATAAATTTCAATCATTTCCTTTAAACGTGTTTTCTCATTTTTGCACGAGTTGTCTGACTCACATATTTGGGACTACAGGATGTTTTATTCCTTTTTCGTTTTAATTGTAATTCCTTATTCTCTGCTGTCGGCTACAAAAGTGCTCGCGCGCAGCTTGTCCCGTATGTACATATGTATATGAAAGATGTTGTATACAATGAATCTGTAGCAATAGCTATCTCGCTTGCACTTGTCTTTAATGCACTTAAAATTGCGTGATTCCTACGCGTTGAGTACGCAGCAACAGCTACAGAGCCGCACACATCAATACATATAACATACTATTTGTTAAATGTTTGAATTATACAAAATCTTTTATTATGGCATTAGCCATATTCTTTCTTGCATTTATCACTTCACTACTTTAAAATGTATTCACTCTTATGTATTTTAAATAGTGTATTACAACCATTTGATAATTCTAAAACTTTCTGCCAAAAAATCGAACAAGAAAACAGTGAAATAATATTATCGATTTCGGTATTTATTGTTACTCGATTAATCGTTTTCTACTATATTGTAATCAAAAATAGTATGGCAACATAACAGCAATTTAGAACAAACGAATATGATATTTTAACTTGAGAACAATAAGTTACTTAATTAGGTACATACACTGCACTATTAGCGATTTTCCGTGATAGGCGGCATAAAATCCAAAAATTTATGGTGAAATATTAAGAAAATTTTTGTATTCCTGAGTTGTCAACACTCCAATTAGATGGAAATTTTTTTTGTGAATTTTGGGTGTCAATTCTTTCATTGTGGGAACGCCTCAAAGCACTAACCACAGAACACATAGACCGGACAAGTAGTGTAAAGCGTTTAGCGTTAGCATTAGTTCCCAGACCACTTCGTATTTGCTCGGCTCCTCACTTTTAGGGTCGGGCTACGAAAATATGGGAACACAAAATCATTTCGCTTCATGCGCTCGGCCGAGATGGTCGACTGTTGAACAAAAGATCCCTCTGCGCTGACTGTTTCCCTTGCTCTCTCTCTCTCTCTCTCTCTGCTCTCTGCTCTCTCAAATATGTATATGTATGTATGCATGTGAGCACAAGCAGCAGCTCGCGAAAACTGAAATTTCGACGCAGCAAGAACCCATGTCTTCCCTTCTGAGTGAAGAGTATTCCGAACTCTTCAAGCCGTTTGCCATGCGTTTTCGTTATTATTTGTGGGAAGGGTGCGAAAGCGTTGGTGCTCATAATGAAAATGTTTTCGTGTGTGTGCGTTCGCGCGTGTGTGTGTGTGTGTGTGTGTGTGTGTGTCTGTGTGTGCGTGTGTGCGTGTTTCTTGTGTAAGCAGAAAGACGCGAAAAATTATTGAAATAGCTATTGCTCGAAGGGTTCAGGGGAGCTTTCTTACTTGTTTTTATACCCTGAACCCATTTTCAATGGGAAATCAGGGTATAATGGGTTTGTTGAAATGTATGTAACAGGCAGAAGGAGGCGTGGCAGACCCCACAAAGTATATATATTCTTGATCAGGGCGACGAGCTGTGCTCGACTAGATACTACCCTGAACCCAACTAATAAAAATGCCCATTTAGTATGGCTAAAATTTCAATTTCGATATATTTAAAAATATAAATGAAATACAAAACTCACTTAATAAATTATAAAAATATTTTGAAGCAATTAAAAAAATTAACAATCAGTTGCTCGCTTGGGGTTTGGACCCAAATGAATGCGTCACGCCCCTACTTACTAGACCACCTCACTTTTGCAAGCTGCGCTGGCAAAATGGAATTAGGTTCACTGCTGCAGCGCCATCTAGCAAAACTAAACCAAACCAACAGCTGATGTGATTCAAACAATGTTCCAGAAGAAGTTTGAATGTATGGGTGCACACGTATACGATACTATTGTAGCTGCTGCAAGTGCGTTTGTAAATTGGCCAAATATTTGATTATTTTTAATTAATTTATGACTTAATGGAGTTGTTGAAACTTTCAGCATATGATCTACATATTATATTGAAATTTTGAGAAATTAAAAAAAATGAAAAATCATTCCAAATTAGCTACAGTGGTCAGAAAGTCGGATTTTTTGGCATAAAGTCCAATTTTAAAGTTAGAGCCTTGAAATTTGGTACATATTTTTTCTAAATTTTTATAGAATTTCGGATTTTTTTTTTTTTAATTGGCCCATGTCTTCACCCTCCTGCCCTAGTACATTAAAAAATTTTATTAAATATTTTTTTTTTTTAAATAAATTTTTTTATTCTTCCTCGTTGTCTAAAATAATGTTATATTGCTCTTCACAGTCAGATTCGGGATCTAAATTAGAATCCGAATCTGAATTTTCGGGTCGGCGGAGATACTGCCTTTAGAAGATATATGACATCTTGTGGAAGATTTTTCTTTTTAATTCGATTTTGTCTTTTATTCAGACATATGCTTGATATAAGCGGATCTGATGAATCCATTGCTCTATAAAACACATCAGCCATGGTGTTTAGTCGGCTATTTTTTCTTGCATGTGATTTTCTGTCACTTTTGTAATATTTGTTCCGAGCTTGTGAAGCATTTTCGCCTAAACATCCAACCGGAACTAAAGATGAGTTCATAATTTGCCAGCCGTGTACTAATATTTTTTGGACAGTCGGAGACATTGGGTACCAAGGATATATACTTAAGTACATTGAAAATGTGCTCTTACAAAATTCCTTAAGTTGTCAACATCTGTAGAAGGGTTTGATCAAAGTTTGTTACTGATGAAAACAAACGGGTATTAGAGAAGGCTCTTCTAGCTGTGTTTCCGTCATTACTATTGCCACTACCGTTTTGCTTGGGCATGTTTATATGGAGACCCATTTGTTTCCACATCATGTCTTGAATATTCTTTTTTCGAGACATAACTTCAATTTTGTCAGCCTGCTTAATATGCCACTTTCGAATTTCGAGCCTATATGACACATTTAGGACGAATTCAAAAAAACGAATCCAGGCATGCAATGGACTCGCGCCGTATTGAAGACTTTCAGGTCTTGGTGCAAAGTTTCCTGAATAAAAATCTGTAGTTTCCAGAAGCTCTGTTGCCTTAAATCTTTGCAACATTCGATTGCACTGCGGCAAATATTTTTTGACGTGATTCACAAAAATCCTGATTTTTTCAGTAAATATATCCACCTGAGCAGCACTGAGATCAGATTTGTTTACTTTTCCCATTACCCATATGATAAGTGCACTATCATCGCGCTTGTTGTTGTCCCAAACTTCCAGCAACGTTAAGCGCCGAAACTCATATTTGGCTGCAACATGTCAATTTATTCAAAAAGGAACAAAAAGGGGCAGAGGAAACTTATTAATTCCGAATATATAAACATTAATCTTGAACATGTGGTTTTTAGTTGCGCGCTCAAGCGCGCTCAGAACAAGTAATACACCACGAAACACGGCTCTATTTGTTAAATTTCACCTGTAAAAAGACACCAACAACAATTGCACATACACAGCTAAACATTCGATATCTTGACAAACTAACACTGAACATTAATATTAAATACCTGTGCTTTTACTTTCCATGATTAAAATATTCTTTTTCTTTAAACAATCACGCTCAAAACAATGACAAAGCTTAATAAATTTTAACGTTGCATACCGATAATTTAAGCTTGCATTGAAACAGCTGACTTTAGTTGCGCGTTAAATTTAAATGACTAATTTGAAAAAATTTTTAAAAACGTTTTTTTCTTATCTAATGTGTCTATAATCAAAAAATAAGTTAAATTTTCAGTTATGAATACATAAAAAAAATGACTTTATGCCAAAATATCAGACTTTTTGACCACAGTGCAGTGGCATCTGACTTGAACTTGAATGTTTTTATTCGATAAAAACATAACGGGATGATTTATCGAATATTAAAAGCAAACTCGACATCTGCGCTGTATATACGGTCATTTAAAAAAAATTGAAGTCTCTAGCTCTTATATCTTCGGAAATCGACGCGTTCAAACATACGGACAGACGGTCAGACGGACGGACGCACAGACGGACAAACAGACAGACGGACAGACAGACAGACGGACAGGGCCAAATCAACTCAGCTCGTCGCCCTCATCAAGAATATATATACTTTGTGGGGTCTGCCACGCCTCCTTCTGTCTGTTACATACATTTCAGCAAAACCATTATACCTTGATTTCCCATTGAAAATGGGTTCAGGGTATAAAAACAAGTAAGAAAGCTCCCCTGAACCCTTCGAGCAATAGCTATAGCTACACAAGAAACACGCACACACGCACTTACACACACACACACACACACAGAGAGTTGCGAGTTGCGTTTTCGTGGAGTACGGTCGACGTCATCGTGATCCATCGTGGACAATGGCTTGATCTGTGTTTTTCCCTGTGAAAGTGGAAAGAACTGTAGACAACGTGGTTGCTGTGGGCGCAACGCACCCAGCGACGGCAAAAATTATCAAAGACTTATTGCGCGGCGGTCTCGCGGAGGGGGGCAATAGCGTCACTGTTTTTGGCGTCAGGGCTTTCCTCTTTCCCTTTCTTTTTTTAAGCGCGAAAAGATTTGTCACATTAGGCGTCACATTTGTGCAAATAATAAAAAATCAATCAGTAGTGCTGGTAATTGCAGCGGACAATCAGCTGCTCACTAACTTTGGTGAGTTGCTAAGTCTCAGCAAAGACAGCAACCTAGCTGCTGGTGTGAGGTAGCAGGTATTAAAAGTAGTGCATACTTTCGGGCTCTCGCTGTAGTTAAGTTGAGTTTAAGTTACTGCGGTCTCTAAACTCAAATTATATTAGTAGGCAGTGCCCACTACAGGCTTCACGCCGTGGTAGTCGGAGCAATATGGAGGCCATGATGGAGGAGGAGCTGCAAGCTTTCGCGCGCCGTTCCTCGTTGCAGCGATCACCGCAGCAACAACAGAGGGCGTTGCCGCAGCCGTCGACTTGTAATCAGTCTCCAGTGGCTGAGTGCCAGGCACCCAAGTCTTTAAAAGAAGCGTTAGCCCAAATAGGAGTTACGCTAGAGGGCTTGACTGCCTTATTTGGGGGTCAGCGGCATATTAATGCCCTAATGAGAGAGGAGCTGGCTAGGCTGGTCAGTCTCCACAAGACGGCCGAAGCGTTCTGCAACCGACCGGTCAAAGACTGCGAGGTGCAGACCACGCTGGTCAAGAAAGTAGCTGAGAAGGCTAAAACAGCGAGCGTTAGTGCTACAACAGGTAGTAATACGCCCAAGCGGTCGAGGGAAGTTGCCACTGAGCAGAGGAAAACTCCCTCGAAAATGCCGAGGCACAATAAAAGCGCAGCAAATCCAATAGAGCCAATGGCTCTACGGGCTGCAGCCGATGAAACCAACCAGGCAGGTCGACAGACGAGTTCGAACAGCTAGACGGTTGTTAAGGGACGCAAGCCGCTGCAAAAACGTTCCAGAAGTGACGCCATCGCGGTTTCAGGTGCAGGTGGTTGCAGCTATGCGGACATGCTTCGCGT